AAAGGCACCCCATTTACTGCCTGCTAAGCGGCTATAGAACTTGTCTTCATTTGGTACAATAGGAATATACCAGTAGTAGGATTTTTCTTTTTTCCACACATTTAGAAGTCGTCGAACGAGTATTTCATGTCACCCATTTTAAGCCCAGGTTATATTCACGCTCTGGTACTATCATCGGAGATAATTTTGAAAATTGAAACAAGATATTTCCCGTCTGTTTGTAGTACTTAAAAGATATGTTTTTTGTTATATTGTTGTAAATTTTCTGTGTTCATTTATTTTAATGACTATAAAAATTTGTCCAGCCCAATGATAACTGTTATGTCCGTTGGATATGAGTGCGTACTTTGAAAATATATTCACTCTTATTTTTCATGATTAGTTATATCGATAGTAATGTGAAATCATCCGTTTTATTTCCCAGATGCCGTTGACAGTACGTTTACCAAGAAACCGATCAAATATTTCCGTCCGTTCCACGGGTCCATCATTTATTTGGCTTTCCCCATGATCCCTGCACAATTCTCTTGGACGAAACCAATTTTCATTTTACGTTGCAATTATTCTTAGAAATGAAACGGAAGCGATCTCACACTGCCTCTGTTGTAGCAGACTATTGAGAAGGCTACTTAAAGAAATTTCTGTTAAAGGGTGAATCTTATTTATAGTTTCTGAGGTCTTGGTTGAGATAAAAAAGTCAATATCGCGAGCGGGATTCGAACCCACGGCCTTCGGCTAAATACGCCGCTACTCTACCACTTGAGCTATCGTGACTTGACTGAAAAAGAGGGAAAATTCGAACGGTTGTAGGTTGAGATGGAGAGTTGGTGTCCGAGAGGATCGAAGTCGCGATAGCTCAAGTTGTAGAGTAGCGGCGTATTTAGCTGAAGGTCGTGGGTTCGGATACCGCTCGTGACACTGAATTTTTTATCTCAACCAAGACCTTAGAAAGATTAATTAATTTATTGAAGGAAGTAACTTGATCAATTGACTACGAAAACGTAAATGGCTTATTTATAGTTCGAGTCAGCTCAATACGCCATTGCTTGAACCACTTGAGCTATCGTGGCTACGACCACTCGGACACCAACTCCCATCCCCATCTCCCTAAATACCCTTCAATGTCTAGAGATAAAGAGGGATTAGTTCTCTTATACCAAGGATTTGGGTACGAAATGGTGTTGATTGAAATGAAAAAGTCAGTGTCACGAGCGGGATTCGAACCCACGACCTTCGGCTCAATACGCCGTTGCTTTAACCATTAAGCTATCGTGGTTTTGACACTCGAACACAACTCCCCTCCCAACACCCTAAATACCCTTCAATGTCCAAGGACAAGAAGGGAAACGTTCTCTTATTCGGGTACCAAGGAGTTGGGTATGAAAAGATGACAAATTAAGAAAAAAAATTAAAGAGCATGAAAGACACATTAAACCAGAATATTCAAAAAGCCCCTGAATTAATGTATGGAGAAAAGAAATATCTTTCTACGGATATTTTACTATTAACCTAAACATGAAAACAACAGTTGTACAACACGCTAAGCAGGCAGGATTAGCAGATCATTATGGACCTCTTCAACGGCGATTGCCTGTTTCATCACCACCCCACGAAATCTGATAAAGTTAAGAACGTAACAGACAGATTTAGGTACTGTACCTTCGCCTAAAGACTGATTTAAACAGAAGAAAATACATTTATTTTCTTCCGGGAAGGGAGGTTCCTTCCATGGTATCAATTCATTGTCCAAACTTGTGTTTTACCTCCCATTCACCAAGACAAATCTTTCATGATGTTCCTACAATATTTGCCTAAGGATTTTTGACCAAATCTAAGAATGTGCACAATTATTCTAAGATATGAATTCTTTCTACGGTAATTCCATTGTATCAATTTTTTGAGTTCAAAACCTTGAAAAAGAAAGGTGAACATTCTTTGGTTCGGACATAAACTGTTGAGCAAAGTGGGAACTTTGCCATGGCAGAGCTGTTATGTTGGATAAGGGCACAACACGATTAGGAGGCAGGGATTGAGGGTAAACCATGATTCTCTTCACGGTCATTTCCTAATAAATAAACACCTAAGGTAAATAGATAAATCTATTGCCAAAACATCCAGGTTTTTACAAAAAGGTGCAAACATCGGGACACGGAGATGTGCGAGAGTGAAGGTTTAGCACAGTTGCGGTACTGCCACTTTCGAAACGTCAAAATAGATTATGGAAGTGATGCCGTGGAAGAAAATCACATCCATGAAGAAAAGTGCACTTTCTCCTGTTTGGACATAAATCTTTAGACAAGCATCGTAGGAACTGCGACATACAATGTGGAAAAAGTCGGAGTCTTAATTCAATTAATTAAGGTTTTTAAGTTGAGATAAAAGTCAGTGCCACGAGCGGGATTCGAACCCACGACCTTCGGCTTGATACGCCGCTACTCTACCACTTGAGCTATCGTGACTTCGATCCCCTCGGGCACTAACTTCCCATCTCAATCCCACCTTTTGAATTTTCCCTCCTTTTTGCCATTTTTCAAATGTCGTGTAATCGGATTGGATTCTCGGCGACAAATGAGATGGCCACGGAGAGCTTTAGTGAGGTGTACTTCATTTTTAATCAATTAAATTCACTATTTTTCGTGGTCCGCTTGATCAATTAATAACTTGAATTTTCCCTCCTTTTTGCCATTTTTCTTCCTTAATTAATTGAATGTTATTAATTGGTCAAGCGGACCACGAAAAATAGTGAAGTCAGTATTAATTTTGACCTTTTGAAAATGGCTTCAGAAATGACTTAAAATTATCCTAAAAATTCTACAGCACATGGAAGCAGTGCTGAAGATATATGCCGGTGCCTCATAAGCAAACCACAAGACAACACTAAATTTCCAAAAGAAATTGTGTGTGTGTGAGAGTTACTTATCATCTGGCCTGCCTATGCTCACCGATATTTGTTAGCCATAGGCGTTTCAACAATTCGCCATCTTCAGTGGTTGGTGAATTTTTGTTAAGGACTTAGACTGCCTATTTATGTTAAATTGTCAATTTTTTAATTTTTCGTAGATTGGAAGAATCCCCATTTTGAAATAATCTATGTAGTACTACTTTATCGTTTCAACATTCCTTTTCAACGTATCCCAGTGATGTTATGAACGGGAATTTCAATGGAGAGTCGCAGAAAGCTGGTTGACGTTCATGTTTGACGGCCACTTGCTATGTGGATGAAATTTTGGAACATCATGCGTTGCCTATCCTCGATGAAATCAGCGAAAATCCTATTCTATTGCAAGATAATGCCCGTCCACATATCGCTGGCATAGTACAAACGTACCTTGAACAGCGTAACATCAAGTCCTTAGACAGCCCGTTCTCCAGAATTGAACCCCATCGAACATTTATGGGATAACCTTAAAATACGAATAATGGCACGTCCATCACTTCCTGATGCACTCCATGATCTTGAAAAGAATCTTCGTGAAGAATGAGCTATCCTCCAGCAAAGAAACATTTCCAGATTGGTAGAAAGTATGGCGAAGCGCTTCGAGATGTAATTAAGGCAAGAGGAGGAAATACGCAAAATACGAAATTGAAACAAATTAAAACAAATTTTATGTGTCAGTCTTTCTTCCCACCTTAGAAATTGACACTTTTTACTTGTTTAGACAAAGACTCAATTAATAAACGCTAAAAAACGTAAAACTTTGATTAATATATAAAAATATGTACAAATCAAGTTACAAGCGGGTGGATTTTTTTGCCTGTCGGTGTATATATTCAAATTATTGTTGACATAAGATAAAATAAGAAATATTTACATAGTGACCTCGATGATTCATTCTCACAATAACACTGCATACCTCTGGTTTATGAAGATGTCTTTCCATGGTTACAGAGAATACAACTGGATTAAAAGAGAGAAAAGACGAGAAAAGGTGTTTGTTGGAGTAATTCTTTCAATTAGTTATTCTTTTTTTGAAAAGTCTTGGTTGACATGAAAAAGTTAGTTACACGAGCGGGATTCGAACCCACGACCTTCGGCTCGATACGCCGCAACTTGAACTATCGCGGCTTTGATCCAGTCAGACACAGATTCCACATGTCACCCAACATCCTTTCGAATTTTCCCTCCTTTTTGCCATTGTTTCAAATGTCTGTAAACACTTCGTTTTACTTACTAAATCCATTATGTTTAGTGGTCTGCTTGACCAAATTACTTCTTTCAATTAATTATTCTATTTATGAAAGGTCTTGGTTAAAATGAAAAAAAGTTAGTGTCACGAGCGAGGTTCGAACCCACGACCTTCAATACGCCGCTACTCTAACCACTTGTGCTATCGTGACTTCGATCAACTCGGACTTTTTACTTTCAACCAAGACCTTACATAAAAAGAATAATTAATTGAAAGATGTAATTTGCTCATTCAGACCGCTAAACATAATGAAAATGTATAATCTTCATGTTTACTATTTTTAAATAAAGCCGTTTTTAAAAACGAGGGTTAACATTTGTTTGTTTTTGGTTTGTGTTTTCTATTTTGTTTTATCCAACTAACAATAATATATAGATTAATTTAATTAAAATTAATAGAATAATAATAAATTACAAATATTCCTATTCATTTTTGAGCAGTTTGGAAAAATAATGGATTTAATTTTAAACTAAATAAATTGAATGGTATTTTAAATTTGTCCATCAGTGTAGTTCAGTTTTAAATTTTTAATACTAGCAGGATTATTTTCAGAATTTGTTTAAAAAATTGTCCAATTTCGAATGTAATCTGTGTCATATGAAAGCAATGATGATGCTTTGTTCTGGTAGAGTCTACCTCGATGGCTTGAACTTCGGAGCTTTTGACCCCCCCGGAGTTCTTCACACGGGAGTGTTATTAACCGCGCGGGGGTGGAGACGGGGGCGATCCACTCATCCCCACTATAACTCATCTGAGACTTCCTGTGGCAGGGAAGGGCAATATCTACCCCTCCAACGGTCGGATCCACTTCGGTAGTGGGAGGTCAGCTGGTGGGGATCCCAACCCCCCGAATTCCCATTTCCAGCACCCGTGAAAAAATTTTGATATTATATTTTCGGCAGCGCTTAGAGACGTGAGTCTTGCCCGGACGTAACTCGCTCTTTCTCATTCGAAATCGTTCCCTCTCCTAGACTGAGAGGGCGCCCCACCTCCGCCTCCACTTCCGACTCTGCCGCCTCCACAGCTCTACCGACTCCTTCCCGCACTAATGTTTGTCAACAGTTAACATGTGACCACTTCATTCACCCCAACCCTTGCCACCAATTTTAAGTTTCTTTTTTTCTTTTTTTTTTTTACTTTTGCAGTTTTCTTTTCTTTTTTGTTCGGTTCTGTTATTGAAAAAAATAACTGTGATCTTGATTCGAGTTTATTAAAAAAGGTGTTGTGGTTTAACTAACATATCTTGTGCATTGTGATTATAAAACTATAATAAAAATCGAACTTTTGGAATATTTATCGGCGACGATTTACTTTTGACACGTAAGTATTTTTTTCGCACTTATTTAACACTATAAAAAAATTAATGCAACATCCTCTAAATTTAAAAAAATCTAATTTTTTGTATGACTCGTTTAAAAAATGACACAAAGATCATATAAAACAAGTTTTTCATAATTGATGATGACTATCGCGTGCCTAACGATTTTACATCATGACGTTAACCACCTCTCTTATTTAATAATTCGACAAAATAATAAAATAATAGCGTTGGAATAAAATTAGGTCGGAAACGTGTGAATTGAATTTGAAAAAAAATTTTCTGAGGCCACGTGGAGTCACGTTTGTCCGTAGGCATGCACGTTTGAGAAAACATGATTTATTTTTATTGCTCTATTCGAGGGGTTAAATGTGCTATTTGATTCCAATTCAAATGAGGGCATCAATTACAAAAAAAAAAAAAAAATTAAATAAAAAAATAAAAAATTTTAATATTATTTAAGATCAGGATTCGCGCCATTTTCCTAATTTTCGTTTGGATTCGCCACGAACTGTTAAATATCAAAAGAGAAGAGGGAAAGAAAAATTCCGGTTTGGGGTGGTAAAATTTTTAAAATTGACCAATATTCCAGAAAGTTTAAAACCCCCTAGTAATTTTTATGCCAAGATAAATTTAATTTCATTCAATAAATGATCATATTTGGCAAATTGTTTTATCAACGTGTTAAAAATATATTAAAAAGTACAATTTTCAACTTTAGTCAATTCTGGAATAATTCTGTACAAATTATGTAAAATGGGAGAGGGCGAAAAAGCAAAATTTTACCACTTAATTGTTTTTATTATTTTATCAACTTAACATTTAAAGCCTTGTTTAACAAATAAATTTTAAAATTTACATTCATGCTGAAAGTTTTTTGTTGTTTTCTTACTCATTTCAAAGGTACAAAGTCACCTTAAACAGCCGTCATTGCAATTTTTATTCTTTTAAAAAAATATCAATTTAAATGTAATGAATTTGAATTTTCGTGCCGACCAAGTGATCCATTAAGTCAATATATATTTGAAAACGAATAAAAAGTTGATTTTTTTATGGCGTAATAAATAAATAAAAACGGTTTCAGTGCTCTAAGATGAAGTCCGAAAAATCCAAGAAAAAAATCATTTTGATATTATCTCCATTAGGAATGATTTTCCCCATTTTCCTGATTATAATTTGGATTCGCCGCGACAATAATCTCAAGAGACATAACAGAAATAAATTCCAGTTGAGAGTGGTAAAATTTTTAAAATTGATCAATATTCCAGAAAGTTTAAAACGCCCTAGTAATTTTTATATGCCAACATATATATAATTTCATTCAATAAATGATATTTGACAATTTTGTTTAATCAACGTATTAAAAATATATTAAAAAGTACAATTTTCAACTTTAGTCAATTCTGGAATAATTACGTACAAATTAGGTAAGATGGGAGAGGGCGACAAGGGAAAATTTTACTATTTTATTTTTATTTTTTTGGATATTTAATCAATTTACATTTAAAACTTTGTTTAACTAATAAATTTTAAATTTTCCATTCATGAGGAAAGTTTTTAGTATTTTGTTGTTCACTTCAAAAGTACAAAGTTACTTAAATAGCCATCATTACAATTTTTATTCTTTTAAATAAATAATAATTTAAATGTGATGAATTTGAATTTTCGTGGCAAACAAGTGATTCATTAAGTAAATTTATATATTTAAAAAGTTTTTTTTAAGGCGTAATAAATAAATATAAACGTTTTCAATGTTCTAAGACGAAGTCCGAAAAATCCGAGAAAAAAATCATTTTGATATTACGTCGATAAGGATTGATTCACCCCATTTTCCTGATTATCGTTTGGATTCACCATGAAAATAATATCAAGAGAGAAGGAAGAAAAAAAAAATGCAGTTGGGGTGGTAAAATATTTGAAATTGATCGATATTCAAGAAATTTTAAAACTTTTAAACTTTCTCCCCCTTGTAACTTTTATATGCTAAGCTTTATATACTTTAATCAGCATATTAAAAATATATTAAAAAGTACAATTTTTAATTTTAGTTACTTCTTAAATAATTACGTTCAAATTAGGTAAGATGGGAGAGTTCGAAAAGGCAAAATGTTACCACTTAAGTTTTTTTATATATTTTTATCAACAATATTTAAAGCCTTGTTTAACCAATAACTTTTAAATTTTTCATTTATGCGGAAATCATTACAATTTTTATTCTTTAAATAAATAATAATTGAAATATGATGAAATTGTATTTTCGTGGCGACCAAGTTTTTTTTTTTTTAAGACGTAATTGATAAATAAAAATAACGTTTTCAATGTTCTCAAATGAAGTCTGCAATGGTCAAGTTACTTAAATGAAAGAAATATTTTTTAGAACTAAATTTTAACAGGTTGCCTACTTAAAAAAAAAAAAACCTAGCTAAATAAATAAAGCAGAGCAAATAACAATTTCTTTTTTCTAAGACGTAATAAATAAATAAAAACAATGTTTTCAATGTTCCCAGGTGAACTACAGGTTAATGGTCGTTACTTTAATTAAAATGAAAGGTTTTTATAAATAAATTTTAACAGGTTGACAGGCAATGAGCTTGCTAAATAAATAAAGCAAAATAAATAAAAAGTTCATTTTCAAGGCGTAACAAATAAATAAAATAATGGCATAATTTGACAGTAGACTTTCATGAACTAGTGACTATTTTTATATTTTGTAAATAAACCGAAATAAATAACAATAATAAATTTTAATTAGTTATTAATAATTGATTTTTATACGATATGATTTGCAATCAACTATGTTTGACGTCCGATGAGAATTTTGACCATTGTCAGTTATGTTTTGCTGTTTAATTCCATTGTGTTACAAGAACGTAAAATCCATCTATGGATGTTTTATTTTATTTTTTCGGTTGTTACAAATTGTATTAATGAAGGAGAGAGCGCACTATGACAAAACGTAAAGTCTTCCGTTCATAAATGGTCATGAGCATGACCTTCACATGGGAACTTCATCCGGGTCGTTTTCTATCTAAGCATGTTTACGAGAACGTTATTTGAACCGACTGGCAACGAAATAGCTTTTTATTTGTTTGTTTATCCTTAGGATGTATATGTGTTTTCATAAACTTCCATTTAAAATACATTTAAATTATCTTACAAATTTAGACCAACGGATCTGGCTTAAATATCTCATTTATGAAAAATCTTATGGAATTTTTTTATTTTTTAACAAGGGATCTTTCAATCGGTTTTAACTGTTCTCAGGTGAAGTCAAGTTACATTAAGCGACATTGACAGAAAATTATGAGAAAATTTTAACGCTTGGCAACCAGTTTGTGCTTTGTTTCCTTGTTTACACCAGCTTTCATCGAGCATATTTAAATTTTCTTAAAATCCTATGTCAATTTTCACACATTAAGTATCTCCTGGGTCGTTTTGTTTTATTAACAAAATTTACTTAAAAATAATAATTCAAGTCACAACGGTAAAACAATTGAGCGATAAAGTTTTATAAGAATAGAATTTTAATAAAATTCGCGACAAACTACAACTATTTTTAATACATAAAATGTACGAGCTTATGCTTAATTTTTTTCGTCTGTGCTTTCATCATCTCATGAAATCACATTTAAATTTCGCCCATTTTTTGAACATAAAAATGCTTTAAAAATGTATGCTGTAATGATCAATCAGTTTTAAATAACAATAATAAAAAAATATGGGAGAACATATTTTATAAGCACATTACTTTAAATTCAAACAACAAATATTTTTTGACAAATAAATTTAAGAGCTTGGTTTTTATTTATTAGTTTAGTCTGTGCTTTCATCGAGCTTAATTTATAGTATATTTTAAGTTCCTTATAGACATATCTACACACTAAAGTATCTACATGGTCCGTTTTTCAATTGTTTAAAAAAAACACTTAAAAAATGTTGTTTATAATGGTCAAGTAGCTTTGAGTCATAATGGTGAAAAAATACATGAGCGATAACATTTGATAAGAACAGAATTTTAATACATTGCCCGACAAACTAAAATTATTTTTTTGGTAAAAAAATTTACGAGCTTATGCTTTATGTACTTGTTTAGATTATGGTTTCATCAAGCACAACCGAAAGCATATTTAAACGACCTTACAGACATTACGATTTTAACACACTGAAGTATGTAGATGATCCATTTGCTCTTAAAACAAAATATGCTTTATATTTTTAAAAAACCTTTATGAATAATATTATTCTTATTTTATGATGTCTATAATAATGTAGTTGCTTTAAGTTACCATGGTAAAAAAAAATATTAGCTACAAAGTTTCGTAATTACAGAATTTTAACTAATTGCCTGGCAACGAGCTTATGCTTTATTTTTTTTATTCCCTGCTTTCGTGAGATTCAATTGGAAGCATATTTAACATAGTTTACAGATTATTAGACGAATGGGGTGAATAACTGAAGTATCTCGTCGGTCCATTTGTTTTAATAAAAAAATATGCTTGAAAAATACAAAGTACAAGACTATAATGGTCAAGTACTTGAAGTCAAAATGGTAAAAAAATTGCTAGAAAATATGATAACACAATTTTAATTGATTGCCTGGCAACGAGCTTATGCTTTATTTTTTTTATTCCCTGCTTTCGTGAGGTTCAATTGGAAGCATATTTAACATAGTTTACAGATTATTAGACGAGTGGGGTGACTAACTGAAGTATCTCGTCGGTCAATTTGTTCTAATAAAAAATATGCTTAAAAAATACAAAGTACAAGACTGTAATGGTCAAGTACTTGAAGTCAAAATGGTTAAAAAAATTGCTAGAAAATATGATAACAGAATTTTAATTGATTGCCTGGCAACAAGCTTATGCTTTATTTTTTGTTTATTCCCTGCTTTCGTGAGGTTCAATTGGAAGCATATTTAACACACTTTACAGATTATTAGAAGACGATTGGGGTGACAAACTGAAGTATCTCGTCGATCCATTTGTCTAATAAAAAAATATGC